ATCACCCCTCAACTTTCACGAATGGACCTGCCCATCCACTGCGCAGCTTTTCCTGGACTGTCAGCTCTAAGTACTAGAGCTATGTACTGCTCCATGTTCGTGGTGGGTGCATGAAGTAACAACACAAAATATATCTTTCGAAAAATAACTGGTGTACTACAGAATTACTGAAAGGCTCTAGATGTAAGTAGAGACAAGTTATGCAACCACAAATGCCAGCAGATATCTCAGTCGTACAAAGGTTAGCTATCAACGGGCACAAGTGACACATAGAGGTACATAACGGACATTGTGTATCAACATACAACATAGAGGGGTATCTGTAAAGGCGGGTCCACATTACTCGTGCTCGTGTGACTCGCTATGCTCGCGAGGAATGTGAACGATATGACAAGTCACGAGACAAGCAAATTTTAAATTTTAATTTTAAAAACTATAGCCAATAAATTAAAATACGACTACAGCCTATACACACTACGAGTAAATATACGGATCCTCACGCGCCGATGCCTGGCGAGCAACTGAAGTAGTGTGGACGAAGATTTACGAGCACAAGTAAAAGCCAGACGAGTATCCCGACAAGCACGAGTAATGTGGACGCTCCTTAACAGGGCAGTCCGAGCAGCATGCATCCGTAACATTGCAGACCGGACAGTGTGTGCCCGGAACATTGCAGACCGGACAGCGTGTGCCCGGAACATTGCAGACCGGACAGCGTGTGCCCGGAACATTGCAGACCGGACAGCGTGTGCCCGGAACATTGCAGACCGGACAGTGTGTGCCCGGAACATTGCAGACCGGACAGCGTGTACCCGTAAAAACGGGTGCAAACAGAGTAAAGAGTGCGCCGACATGGCTTCTTCATTCAGCACGACCGTGTTCGCAACCAACCGGGCAACAGCTTGGCAACCATTCGATTTCTTTTTATCGTTCTAGGAGCGATACAGCAAAGGGATTATATTTGTACTTCCAAAAGCTGACGCATTCTCAGTTTAGTGCAGACGCCTTTGTCCAACATTCCTGCTTGTATTAGCAGTGAGGCAGCAAAAGTAGGCCTCTAACAGGGACGATTATTTACATCGTGAAGTGTGTACTTGAATGGTCATTCTGTAGGCTATTCAAACCCCAAACTGGACGTAGGAGGAAAATGTCATAAAATCGATAGAAATTTTTGGGATAACACACTTACAAGGAACCTTAAGCATGAGTAATAAAAAATCAGACATAAAAAGTAATGGTAATANTAGCTCCCAAGGCCGCGCCATAACTCAAGCGGTTAGTCGCTGGCCTACTACCACGGCGGCCCGGGTTCGATCCCGAGTCGGGTCAAGTGGGATTTTTGGTGGACAAAGTGACGCTGGGGCGGGTTTTCTCCGAGCACTTCGGTTCCCCTGCCAACCTTCATTCCACCAAATTCTCCATCATCATAATAATCCGGGGCAGGTACAATAGGCCAATCAGTGGCCGCCGTGCCGAATGAACCAAGTTGGACTCCACTCCCCACTAAGCGAATTAAAAAATTAATTAAAAAAATATTTTCCCTGTGCTTAGCTAAGCACTATGCCATGAAGACATAACCAGTCGGTACCGAGGGTTGTTTTCCGGGGTGCTAACGCGGCCGCGTCTTAAACCGACCATTTACCTCCAACTAGCGCCGAGGTCAAAAATATATGGATCTATACATCCAATTGAAAAACAACATATAAACTTTTTTTTATTTGAGATAGATTCATACAATCTGTCCAATTAAGGACAATGAGCACGGTGACTATGTCATTAACAGTGTTAACAAGGCTATCCCAGTAGATGCCTTAAGATTTGTGTCACGTATACACTTAAAACTAGCTAAATCTATCAGATAAGTCTGACGGTTTGAATCTTTTTAATCTCCTAACTTCATCTTCATGGGTTAGTAGTGAGGCTGCGAGTTCGTTTGGATGTACTTGTAGTCTCCGACTGTACTTAGCACTACACTTTTTAATTGCTTCTCGCACTGTAGATACACTTAAGTCCTTATGTAACACTGTATTGGGCACATACCAGGGCGCATCAACTGTTTCCCTGAGAACCTTGTTCTGAAATCGTTGTAGTATTTCCAGGTTTGAATTACTTGCTGTTCCCCACAGTGATATACCATACGTCCATATAGGTTTGAGTATTGTCTTGTAGAGTAAGAGTTTGCTATTAAGAGATAGTTGTGATCTTCGTCCGATTATCCAGTACAGTTGCCGAATTTTCAGGCCCAATTGTTTTCTTTTACTGAAGATATGTTTCCGCCATGTTAGCCGGCGATCTAAATAACATATAAACTGGATACATTAAATGACGTGGCGCTGGAAGTGAAGCTGACTCACTTTGTGAAACAGAGGAAATGGCAAGTTCTCAAGCCACAATACAGAAAAGAGGAACATAAAGTTTTAGAGAAAAAGAAGTTTGCTGTGAGATCCCAGTAAAGCTACTTTAGTGCTTGGTTTGTGTACAAATCCACGAAGAAAAAAAGTAAGACGAGTATTGGTATCGCCAAAGCCTATAAAACTTCGAAAAGGCAGTGACATTGAAGTTTATGGGGCATATTCAATTCAGAATCTTGTGCAGAGAAAGAGGAGAAGATGGACATCTCCACAGTATAGAGAGGATGTGCAAGTAGTTACTATAGGCTTCTGACGATGGTGTATAACACACTGATATATTGGGTTTTTGGACTTCATCCATCGTCCTGGTTTTTAAGATAACTAACAAAAACACGACGTTTCGGAAACTGGCTAGCTCTTTCTAACGGACCCAACAGAATAGGTGTTTTCCTTCACCTGAGGACGGAAACAGATCCAGTTTCCGAAACGTCGTGTTTTTATTAGTTATCTTAAAAACCAGGACGATGGATGAAGTCCAAAAACCCAGTATATCAGAGAATGTGCAGTTTATACGATAAGGACATACGAGTATGGTCCTTTGAGTTATATGTTGAGCATAATATGAACTGCATTTTGGACAAAGCTGGTTTTTCTGAACATATGGGATGTTATCTCGTTCATCATGTGGAATGTCCTTCCAAATTTAGAACACGCATAAATCATCCAGCACCATCTATCATGTCGAGTGAACTGCTGGACTCCGTACTTTCATTATCATCTGCCTACACAGAAGATTGAGAGAAATACAAATTTCATCGTTACAAGTGTTAAGACCTGCTACGTGTACAAATCTCTTTATAACAGAACTGATATGGAATTATCTAGCATGTCCTATCACACAAGGAAATTACTTAGCCACTGTCGAATAGATAATTTATTGTGAAATAAGCGATAATAGGCACTTATGTTTCATCATATATTTTAATCATTATTTATTTACGGCGGTTTAATCATGGGTAAAATTTAGGTTATAAATCTCACCGAGTTTTTAGCATGCATATTAAGGAAAAAAATAGGCATTTGCCTGCTTATGAATATCATATAACAAAGATTCAAATCTTGTTCACATCTACAATTTATGTGTCTAATATATTTAAACGTGGTTACTATTTAAAGAAATGCAAGAAAGACTTTTTTTTCACTTAAATCTTATGCTTAATGTACTGAACATACTTATAAGCCTACACATTGCGGTTTCTGAGCAACATATTTGTATCTGCAGGACACGAAGTTCAACATCCATTTAGGATATCAAAGAAAATATTTTGAAAATACATACACTGTAACCTGAAGTACATGTACCTGTTCTCTGTTCTTGCAGGTCTATATATCACGAACAACAGAAATAAACAATATATATATATAATCAAAGCTGGAACTGCTGTATAATTGTGCGCCAAATTATGTATTGCCTCAGGTATGTTGCATACATTCGGTGTTTCAGTAGTTGATTTCCATGACCTGTCTTCAGCTGACTGGTTGTCATTATACTGACAGATTATTTTTAATTATTATTATTATTATTCGAAGTTTCCGGGATCGAGCACTGAAATTGGATGCCTTCTTGGTGGCATCGGGGGTTCGGGGTTGAACTCAGACCGCTGACACAAGTACTAAATATATGCGTCAGTTGTGTGATTTGCATACAAAGCAGACAAAGAACATTGTCCACTATAACTGACATGTAATGAAACAGCCCATGTCACGGGCTCGGTTTGTGTATGCCAGATGACAGCACTGCCATTTAACACTCACCTCAGCCATTGACGTAGCCATTTTGGTATTACTCAGGTTTTCATCAAAAACATAATTACATTACATATTCTCTTTCCGCAGACATCTTCTTCTGCAACGGCTGTGAGAGCCACACTGAGCAATTTCCAAGCTAAACTATGCATTTAAAATCTACGATTCTTTGAATGCGTTGCAAATTCCAGAAAACGATATCAGCATAGATTATCGCTTAGCTACGAGATATAGTCAGCATCAAAAGTAAACGTATACAGGCTCTGATAACGTTCAAATGTTTGACAAATCGAAGTAAACGTTACGTCACGGAGCTATGCTCGACCATTATTACCACAGACGCCATGTCGCCAATAAGTTTCCAAACACAGAGCTGCAGAGTGAAGCCAGCAGCTCATTACTACGTGCAAAAACAGATTACGGAAGGGTGTTACCTGACGGTGTCGGAGCAATTATGTACTAATCAGCGGTTGCGAGCCAGCCTAGGTATCGTGAAATTCGGCCCAGTCATCCACAGCAGTGCAATTCATATATATTTATCTTTATTTTATTCCTTTCAGTTATAGATAAGCTAAATTCATGGATGGCCGGTCACGGTAGCCGAGCGGTCTAAGGCATGCACTGTCTTTGCTCGCTCGGAAGCCGAGATCGTGGGTTCAAATCCCACTCAGGGCATGGATGTTTGTGCGCGTTTTTCTGTGTTTGTGTACAGGTAGAGGCCTTGCGACGAGCTGATCACCCGCCCAAGGAGTCCTACCGAATGTGTAAGATCTAGAAAAACCGAAGTGAACGGAGACGTTCATGGAGGTAGGCCTAGGCCCACTGGGGCTGTAGTGCCGGGGGGGGGGGAATTCAGAGATGAGGTTCTTAAATTACTTATGTTGGATAGTATGTCAGCTACAAACTACATAGTTTAAATATCTGTTTATAAGTTATACAATTATTTTTCATATTTATATGCTTACAGGTGGTTAGTATTTCACTCTGCATTTCGTTATCGTATGATATGTCCCTGCCTAAGCGTGCCTCATTATTTAGATTAATTTTTGTTTAAACTGATGTCGAAATAATTGCTTAGATGTTCCATTCGTTATGTAAATGGAAAGACGTTAAGAGCGGTGAACAGGACTATATCTGCTACCACATGAAACTGGTATGCACATTATGACAACTGATAAAGGAAAACCTGAATGTTTTTCAACAACAGGGAAAACACATAAACAAGAAAATGACATCAGCTGTAGACTAATTCGACGGAGAAATAATAAGATGATTACACCACATCTCCTGCACACACCCACACCCACCCACACACCCCACCCCACACACCACACACACACACACACAAATACGTGATTGATACTGAATGCCTTGACAAAATTTGGTTTCAGATAAATCAGCCTACATGTATATTACGATGCATATTACCTGGTTATAATTTGTCCCATTGAAATTCTTTTTCTTTCAAATACTTCAGCTGTAGTGGATACCTATATTGGAATACATATATCTCCATTTAAACAACATTAGTTGATTCTAAAGAATTCTGACGATGCTGCATAACACTCGCAATTACTGGTTATTCTAGTTTTTGAAACACTGGATTATGGAAAAAGTCCAAAAACCCAATAATTCTGAACACAAAAGTTATTCTGAAAAGACATGAAGTTAAAGAGATGTAATATTGTACCTCCAGGATGGGGAAACACAGAGACAAAGAGCGCCTTCACGGTTTGCACAAGACTGACTTCCTGTGAATGGACATAGGGAAGCATAGGTCGTCGAAGCTTCTGTGTCTAAAAGGAAGCATTTAACTTTCGTTCAAGCGATTAATCTTTCATAATACTGTTAAGATTAATTTGTATAATGCAATCTTGTTGGTTTATACTACTTTCCTAGAAGCGTGAAGAAGTATTACTTAAGACTCAGCGTCAGATTTTGCAGTTTATAATAAAAGTTTACAATAGGCCTGTTTCATTCCTATTTTGAAAACATTCTAAATGGTTTCGACATCCAGGCATGTGAAGGTGAGAAGTAGGCTTAGTTAATAATATTCTTTTGATATTGAAATCTGGGACAAAGACAGAGAACTACCACGAAGATATGCAGTACAGAAACTTTATTAAATTATTAACAACTCTCGTGTATTTAAACACAATAACGTAATTTTTTCTTCCTGCTTTTTTCGTAAGATGTTACAAAAACGTTTCTTATTCGTTCTGGATATTTGAACGGATAATGATCAGCCATTCAACTTAGCAGCCAATGTGGTAGCTAAAATGGATAACTTATTCTAAAATATGAGATATGAACTTCTAAAAACCGACACAAGTGAAGTTTATTATTAAAACGTCTATGTACAACACAGTCCATCAATAATGCAAGAAATTGTTCCTCTTTCTTCCACTTTCACTTTTAACACAGTATGTTTCGGCCTTATATGGCCATTTTCAGGTGTCTTAATATATTAAAACTGATACACAGCATTAATACGCACTAAAATCACACGCTGTAGTCCAATTAATAAAATAAAATCCATTAAAATTGTCTATTAAAACATTTCCATTACTTATTGTAAAATTCTATTCCACCTCACAAGGGATGTCGTCCACATGTTTAGAACTTGTTTATCACCCCTTGTGTGGTGGAATAGAATTTTACAATAAGTAATTAATATATTTTAAGAGAAAACTTTAATGAATATTATTTTATTAAGTAGACTACTGCGCATATTAGCGCAGTGCATCAGTTTTAATATAATAATACACCTTAAGATTGCCATCTGGGGCCGAAACATGTGTTAAAAAAGAATAAGTGGAACAAAAAGGTACAATTTGTTGCATTATTGACGAACTGTCTCATATACAGAGTGTTTCACGACTTTAGGGCATAACTGCAGGAGGTGATTTCCAAGGTCTTTGTGATCAAAAGAGTTCATATAAACATGTATCCGATTTTGGACGGTTACGGAGTTATGACCGTTTTAAACTCAGAATAGAAGGTAACGATTACCGACAATAAACAGAACAAAATAATAAACCAGTATAATACATGATGCATTTATTGTATGAATGTAAAGTTAACTTCGTGAAATTACCTTTAATTTGAATTTATTGGCGATTAAAGCTGATTTTAGAAAATGCCACCGCCGGCCACAACACAGGCTGCCGCTCGGTTGTGAACCACGCCAGACATACCAACCCACCACGCCTTAGGTACCTCTCAAGTGTCGAGACAACGAGAACGCTCTGTCTGTAACTGGCTAAAAATAGCGACCCGCCAGCTGAGAGACGCGGTTCACACGAGGGCATGTACGGGAATGAAAAAACGGTCATAACTCCGTAATCGTCCAAAATCGGATACATGTTTATATGAACTTTTTTCATCACAAAGACCTAGGAAATCACCTCCTGCAGTTATGCCCTAAAGTCGTGACACATCCTGTATAGACGTTTTAATATTGCTTCCAACAGGATGCTTAAATACAGAAGTTTATATTTTTCCTAATTGGGTGAAGTAAAATATGAAAGGTGAACCTACAGAACGTTTTCTTTTTCTTCATTGGCTTATTTAACGATGCTCTCAATTGGCAGTATTATATAGCGTCGAGTATGATTCAGGAATAATGAATTACGACTAAAGATTAAAGTAGCGGCAGTGGCCTAGTTTAGAATACTATTCCGGAATTTTCTTGGAAGGGGGCGACGACGAATTCGTAGTCCCTGATTTGAATCCAGGAGCTCCCGATTACGAGGCAGGGCTAATCACCCTTCTGCTACGTTTAGTGAAAGATAAATAAAGACGCTGCAATGAACAGCTGCAGCTGGCAAATGTGCTACTGGCCGGCCTACTGATCCCTGCGATTTAAATATGGCCACGAGGCTGGACAAACATTGATGATGGAACCAGATATGAATATATATATATCTGAAGTCGGATTCCAATTTAAAATTGTGCAAGTGACTTGTACTTAATGAATTCATGCAACTTGTACATGGAAGTACTTGAAGTTTACTAGATCCTGTATTTTGCGATCTGTCACATGTTACGTTTTCCGGAAATAACATTAAGCAGCTTGACACAGGATCTCAGAGAGTGGAGGAGCATACACTAGAACACTGACGTTCTTTCACTCATTGCTACAGCTATAACACCCCCCCCCCTTTCTATTCTTCTCCCTGTTCCAGGATAATTGTCCCCAAGACAGTGGCACATTCCTTAAGAATTTGTAAAGTGCATACATTGGCAGCTACTGAACATGTCACATGTAAACCCACTTCTACGCAAAGCCCGAAATACATACATGCAACAACAGAAAAGGTATTGCAAGAAGTGTTTTCTATGTGGTCTGTACCATGTCCATTGCTAGGCAATGGGACGCTAAACACATTCCCACAGAAGCAACCCCACACAGAACAGGACACCTACTGCTAGGCAACAGCATGGTAAACAGGCTTTGTCAAAAATAAAGGATGTGTTGTCTATGTGCCTGCCTCGAGACTATAAAAGTAGTCCAGTCATAAATCAGAAGTCTGTCATAGAACGAGAACGAGAATGGAGCGAGTCCTCGGCAGTCAAGGAAGAAGGGTTCAGCGGAAGATTGATTGAGTCATTGTGATTAAAAGTGTGATTGTACTAGACGGAGTTAATAAATCCAATCCTCCAATCTAAAACTTGTTATTATTGGTCATGGAGCCATAAGCATGCGACAATATCACAAGATCTAAGAAGCCATATAACTGGCAACAATGCAATGTTGTCCCATCCACTGTGAAGCACAACTGCACCGACTAATATAATTACATTTGTTTCCAATTTCAGCTCCTATTTTTAAGCACAAATTATCTGCCTAGGCACTGCACCACCAAATAACATATACTCTGTATAAATTGTCTACGCTATTTTAACTTAAAATCAGAACTCTTCGTGGTTCTATAAAAGGTTTGTGAAAAGAGATGATCAATTTCAGAATTTTGTTGAAGAATACTGTCTTCTGGGATGTGGCGCAGTGTAGAGTGATACGAACCAACGTTTTGGAGGAACGCATCGCCTCCATCCGCACATGCCTTCATGGCGTAGTGCTTAATTAATTAAGCACAGGGACAACTTTACCTTTTACCTTTTATCCATTCCTTCTCTGAAGCCTTCTGAAATTCATCATCATCGTCATCAGTAATCTGTCAAGACGACAGGTCCACAGTCTCTTCCAAAACAATTCCTCCACTTAATGCATCTGAAATTCGTACTATAAAATAAAATAAACTCTCCTACCAACTCTTGCCAATTTAGGGACTTGCTGGATTTCCAAGAAAATTTCCAGTGGGAATCTAATAAACTGAAACTGGTTAATTAATTGCAAACAAAATACTTTATTTTGCTTTCCTTGCATTATGTTTGACAAACACAATAAAGTGCTATCCAATTCCAAAAACAGGGGATCATTAAAATTCAGTGGTTCACCACACCAGCTTTTCCAAATGGGGGGGAACAATGAAGGGAGGACATTTTTATTACTGATGGGATTCAACAAGTAACTGAATAAGAAAGGCAAAAATGGCAGAAGTTCTAAAATGTATTTTGCATGTCACTGTGGGGGCGACGATGACAATGTTGACAACCTGGCACTTAGGGCTTCCAGTGATAGATCTAGAAAATTAAACGGAGTCTTTCTTGATATTATGGAACTAATTAATAATCATAACACAGCATTGATGGAGATTATTTGAAAGCAAAGCATTGGTCCTCTAAACTACTTGTGTGAGAACATGCAAAATGAGTTTATTTGCTAGAATGGTAACGTAGTTCAAGATTATCTCTTAAATTATGAAACCAAACAATATTCACTCTTTTCAAACCTGCTACAGACACACAAATACCTTGTCCCAGCTCTGCTCTTGCTGTTTAATAAAATGTTAACTTTCGGAATTGCTGAACTACATGTGATCAACAAGAGAAAAGGAATTAAGCTAATAGCCAACAAGGTTCTTATACCATAAAAGAAAACTAACAAGACCATGATAACACAAAAGAAAAGAAACTTTCTAATAGTGATATGCTGATTCCAAATCTGAACACAGACATGTTGCAACACATCAGTTTTGTATATTAAATTTCAAGCAAAATAAAAACACTTTTCCCCTCTCATTAACTTATGCCAACCATGTAACAATATAGTGTTTCATGACACTGAATTAGGATATATTATTATTAAAATAACATTACATAATACATGGCAGATGGCTAAGTATTACATAGAAAAACAGAGGACTCGGTTTACAATTTTCTGTCAGTTTTGTAGTCAGCATACCATATTTCCAAGAAGGCTAAATTTGTACATTTTTGAGAAAGTGAAAATTTGTTTAGGCACTGTCCTTTACTTATTAACTAGAACTTGACACATATTTAAACAACATGAAACTGTAATACACTGCTATAATATTAAATATATAAAATCTACAAAAGAACCAAATGATGATCACCTGTCCATATAAACAACTCTATTCAAATTAACAAGTCTTGATAGTGAAACTTACTTTTAAAACATAACTCTGTAGTAAAATTATTTCTCAGTTTGGAGCCTAAAATGTTCTTTCAAAGCATAAAAAAAAACATACACACACACATATTTCATTATCTTGCATAGAAAGCGATGGATAATGTAAGAAATGAGTATATCATACCCAGGCTGGAAATAATAACATTTTAGGCCCTGAAATTCCACACTTTAACATCACTGAAACAAACTTTTTCTTCGTTTGTAACTCCAATTTCTCCTTTACAGAGATAATTACAGGATTGATGAATGAGTACTTCTGAGAACTTCACTCTATCATCTTGAAGAGGGCGCAAGAAAATATCATTCCCAGGAGCTGGAAAGTAAAAGGAACACGATGTCATGTAGCAAGCAAGCACTAAACTTCACAGAAAAATGAACACTTTGCTATAAAAAGTTCTTGAATTTTATTCCACTGAATTTAACAAGTGTATCTTCCTTCACACATGGAGTTACTGTTAGATCAAAGAACTTCTATTTGAGAAAAATGGATAAAATTATTTCTTGCAGAGTAAAAAGAAAGGACAATGTAGAGTTTTCTTTCCAGACTCGTAAATTTTCTCCTCACAATTTCACTTATTGAGGTAAAATTGCCAGCAATACATCATTAAATTTCTTTGAAAAGCAACTTTAACCCACCCAAAAGAAAAAAAAAAGTTATATGTAATTCAGAGGATATAGGAAGGGTTGTGCACATGGCCCTGTGCGTCATCATTAGATGGATTGGTCCTGCTTTGCTGTTTTCCTATTGCTACCTGGTACTTCATCATGTTTACATTTACAACTGGGAGCTGACTACATGTGTTTATCTGGTCTGGGGATCTGTAGAATTGATGTTCCTTTGTATTACTGATTATATTATGCCTAGATTTTGGTCTTCCTATGTTTTATTTCATCCTTGTTCTCCATATTTCTACAATGTCTCTGATTATTGTCGCAGATTTCTATTTCTGTTACCCATACTCCCCATGTCAGCTTTCATTGTCTAACCAATATATACATGTTGTGATAACACAACAGGATGCACTACTTGAAGATTCTATATGTATTATTCATCTAACCATACATCTCGTGTTGACTGCCATGTTCTCAATTTTTTTGTACCGTGTTACTTGTTTTATTCATTGGCCTTACACCCTGTAACCTGCTGCAGTGTGAATTTCGCACCAAGGCCACTACTTACGTTATTTAAACATAAGGACCCAATGTGTGTCATATCTCATTACTGCTGTATCATTCTTATTTATCAACTGCATGCCCACTGGGCCCTACTTTCATAGCACCATCTTCCTACAGTCAGAACAATCTCAAGTTACCCCATTTTTGTGTGCCCTTCCCGTGCGAAAGGCCTGGTTTCACAGAGGCTGTATTTAGTGGAATACTGTATCCCGTATGTTTGACTTATTACTTACCATTAAACAAGCAACTCCGATGCCAGCACCTCCAATGATAGCTGCATGATCTTTAACAAATGTTTCAGTGACGTTCAAGCAGCCTGTGGCGAAAATATTCCCAGGCAATTGAGAGCACTTATCAAAAGACTGTAAAAGAAATAGAAATCTTAAATGTGAAAATACTAGAATAATACGCATTCCAATGGGAATACACTGCAAATACTCACGCTCCTATCTCAGTTCTTCAAAAACAAAATTGGAGTTCTAATTCTCTTTTATGGTGATACCAAAATATAAATGTATCATCTGTACAATACTCAAGAAAAGAAAATATGATATACATAAAATATTTTATTTTATCTCCTGTCAATCTGAAACACATATAATCATTGTTTTTGTTTTTTCCCCTTGTATTTTGATTAGCATAATGAAACCAAAATGATCTTACAACTCATCACACGTGTAGTTTTCGACATGTACATTATGCATGCAAGTATCGGATGAAGTCCTGATAAATATTAACAGATGTAACAGATGAACAGTAAGACAAGCGCTGTCTTTAAATCCTAATCTACATTGGAATAAATGGCATGGAGAGTAAGATCATTTGGGTAAATGTAATTCTCTCATCTAATCTACAAGTCCTTAGCAAGGCTCAGCTGCTAAATGTGATGAGAAGTCTGTTCAGATACAATGATAATCATCGTGCAGGGTCAACAGCTACATTAGGATGCATAATGTTGCCCAGTATGACTGAAGGTTAAAGGTTGTGAGATCCTTCCATCACCTGAATGATTTTTCTACCTACAACTTCATATTTTCTTGTAAATTAATGAACAATTTTAAAACTATTAAATATATTCAAAACCTACCTGCATGTGAAAAGTGTCTTTACATATGGTTTGAAGAGTGGTTCAAATTTTTAGTATTCAACTTACAGAATTTTCATAGTGAAGCTTACAGCAACTCCCTGGAATCCTATTTTTCCAGTCTAAAGAGGAGGTGACCCCACAACATTTCAGCTGTAATGAAACGACAAGATACCATCAGAGGTACTGTACACAATTCATGAGCTTCCTCTCCGGAAATATAATTATAGTGCTGTAAATGTGTTTGAAAATGTTAATTCATAATTACGATGGTTGGAACTTTAATAGTGGCAACACTGCTGTAGAGACGCCATGCAACGGAACCAAATAATGTCTCTTATACCACATGTTAGTTACATACCTACCTTACCTCAGAGCAAATGGACTCTCCCTTCCCAAATCATGCGCATGTGCAGCGACGAGAAGAACAGAGCCTCGCGTTAGCTGGCGGTCTAATGTAGTGTTGTCATGAAGTTTTCGAAACAGGAACAACGGAGTTGGATAAAGATTGAATGTGCCAGAGGCTGTACAGAACGACAGTGTCATCAAGGTCTTCAAGAGGCTTGCGGGGAATCTGCATTGCCTTACAGAACAGTGGCAAGGTGGGTAAAAGCCTTCAATGAGGGACGCCAAAATGTGGCAGACATGCATCGGCCAGGTCATCCTAGTGTCAGTGAAGAAGTGTATGCTCTTTCCGCATTACTGGAGTGATCAACGCCATAGGATTCATGAACTGGCCCGAGAGACAGGATTAGCGCATACGACTGTGCTTCACATTCTGAAAGAACACCTGGGCATGAGAAAAACTGCATCACAATGGGTTCCACATGATTCGATGGAAATGCAGAAATGGCTATGATATGATGCAGCTCGTAACCACTTGGAACACTATGAGCGCAAAGGAGAGGCTATCTTATGCCATATCATTACGCTCGATGAGACAGGGGCCAAATCGTACGAGCCACAAATGAAACGCCAATCGAACGAATGGCATCATCACTGGTCACCACGACAATCAAAAGTTCGTCAGAACCCCAGCAATGTGAAAGTTATGGTGATTCTCGTGTACGACTGTGATGGTGTTATCCTAACGCATACCGTTCCCCGACAGCAGACGGTCAATGCGCAATATTACTGTTCATTTTTGGAACATAACCTGCAACCAGCTTTGAGAAAGAAGCAGTGACACTTTCTGCAGGACCCACCCATCATTTTGCAGGACAATGTTCGGCCTCATGCAGCACAAGCTGTGGCTCATTTGTTCGATCAATGGGGCTGGGAAGTGCTGTACCATCCACCATACTCCCCGGACTTAAGGCCTTGTGACTTTGACTTGATTCCTAAGATGAAGGAACCACTTCGTGGCATTCGTTTCAGAACTGTTCCAGAGATTCTTCAGGCAGTTGACCGCTCCATTCGAACTATCAACACAACAGGCACTGCTAAAGGTATCCTACAACTTCCACATCACTGGCAACGGGTTGAACATAATGCTGATGACTACACTGAGGGACAGTAAAACTTCGAAACATGCATCTATTTTGTAACAGTTGTAAATAAATAGTTGCTTCTATTAAAGTTCCATCCTTCGTATATTCCAGTCTTATTTCTGTATCTTTCATTTAATATTAAGATGTTTATGTGGTTTTCCCATACTGCCACATTACATCTACTTGCTTACACTGTTAGTACAACATATTTTGGCCACAGACGGCCATCCATCATGTACATCAATATGTTGTAAGCTGGTGCACTTATGTTTCTTTCATTGAGTGAGGTGTCAATTAAAATTGAACTTAAAATAAATAATTATACATTGAAGTTGACAGTTAAAATCCAAGGTTTTAACCCTTGGACACTGAAGAAATTGGTGCATCTTGTTGTATGTAGGTCTCAGGTTCAGTTGTGCTGCTGTCTTGTGTTCACTGGATGTAGTGTTAATGGCTGGTGGTTGAAGATTGTTACTGTTTGTTCACCAACTGTGAACACTGCTGTATCAATAAATGAACAAAATATGACAGTGTGGAAAAACATACAGCCATTTGAACATTAAATGAAAGTTGTAAAAATAATACAAATATAGTCATAAAATAATTAGTCAAGGCAACAGGATACTGAAAGTTAGTAATATGTTTGGGAAGATGACTGCTGTAAATGTTTGATTATGCACTGAAATTAAAACAGTAGTCTAGGTTCAAACCTCATCAGTAATAGCACAGAAATTGTAAATAATAGTTATATCTCAATATTGATAAGATACTAGAAAACAATTCGCAAATATTGGCTACATATCACATTGCTGAGGGTATTCAACAGAGAACTGCACACAATGACCGAGCCTCCAACTCGAAACAGGTACTGCCAAAAAAATGATGTAAATGGTGGCTGGGTCCGAAGCAGAATAAAAGTTATATTTTAGCGTCCTGTTGCACTGATTTAAGTCCATGATTTATTTAATCCGTCTTGCAGTGCATACACTCATTTATTTCCTTCTCTCCCTCGCACTACATGTTTCGGCATAATAATGCCATCTTCAGGTGCTTACTTATCCATGTCACACATACCCAGGAAGTACAACAGTATAACACACGCAGTCGCAGGAGCACGACACAACAAAAGCACAACACACAAGATAGTGAAGGAGTGCTCCAACAAAGGAGAATGGGCGTGACTGACGTAGTGAGGGGTGACGTAGCGATGTGGTATCCTGAACAATTTTAATATTTTTAACGTTTGACAATGTATATGATAGATACATATTTTAGTTATTTTAATGTGTGAACATGGCATGCAATGAACTGGTTTGACGTGGACAAGTAAGCACCTGAAGATGGCATTATTATGCCGAAACATGTAGTGCGAGGGAAAGAAGGAGATAAATGAATGTATGCACTGCAAGACGGATTAAATAAATCATGGGCAGAATAAAAGTATTAGCACAGAAAATGCATGCTGTGGCTGGGTATAAATTTGTAGCCAGTAACTAGCACATAAATTTATATAGTAAACAAGTACTGCAGAACACACTGAAAACAGTGACTGTCTCACAGCAGTCAGGTACAAGCACACAAAATATAAACAGTGACTGGATATTAAACAGTAAACAGAGACTTAAAATGTAAACAATAAACCAAAGCTAGTTATATTATAATTATATTATTTTATTATGTAAAAGCAAAATTTAAAGCTATCCCTGTAACAGGCTGTGTAGGCACATAGGATCGAGAAGTCGAGGTTCCCACATTTTTCTAGACAGTTGACTAACAGATGGCGGTGAGGTTGTCAGCCTCACGCACAGGCTGCCCTTTACCACCCCCTCCAACCCTACTCCTGGTACTCATTTCTGTTAGTGGCTGAGTCAACACCAGGGCCAAGTACTGACAATTAAGACAGACATTATCTAGTCCTGCCAATAACTGGTTTATGAGTAGAAGACAAGATACTAGCAGAGTCATATATTATGAATGTGAAACATCAACATATCAAAAAGAAAACAGGTTTCCTTAAGTTTACTGCCATTTTTAGTACACCTTCCTACTCTAAGAAAAATAATGTAGGCCTATGAGATCATCAAGTAGTGTGTGTGTGCATGAGAACGTGTGAGTGAATGCAGTGTCAATTTTAGCAGGGTCACCAATGTGGGATTCTCGATGTTCCAATAAACAACCACTCGAAGAAAAGTTTGCGGGCCCTAAAAAGGGCCATTTGTTCCACTGTGCATGTGCTGGAGAGTTGCGGCAACTACGTTAGCTGCCTGGTCGCAGAGCGTGGTCGCTGGAGACTTGAGACAACTACGTCAGTGTCCTGGTCACAGACCATGGTCGCTGAAGACTTGCGGCAACTACGTCAGTTGCTTGGTCGCAGAACATGGTTGCTTGGTGCAGTGAAGAGCTGATGACTCTGATGACTGATTGCTCTGAAGTGAATGCGATCACTGACGATGCGAGCTTTGGGCTCCGCCTTTTATACCATGCTTGATGGGCGGAGCGAAACTGGCAGTTGCGATTGTGAGCGCTGATTGGCTAGCACACATGATGATCTAAATGTGGGTTGGACAGCGAGTGTTGTATAAATACGAGTGCCGCCAGCAATGTATGACTTTGACTTTGAATGTGCGGCAATGTGATATTGACCTAAGAATGAGTGTTGTCTGTTAGACCAGCGAAACAGCATGTAAATATGTGGGATGTTCCCACAAAGCTATCCCTGTAACAGGCCATGAAAAGCGGCCTCCACAGTCTAGGGGTAACATTCCCACCTCATGACTCAAGGTACGCGGGTTCAAACCTGGTGGAGGTCGTGGAATTTTTAAGTTCAGAAAAATTCAGGGAACAAGTCCTCCGGGAGGGACTTTAAGCCGTGGGTCCCATGTCATAGATTTAAGGCACGTAAAAGATCCTCATGTCTCTAGGAGACCTCTGAGCAAAATTAGTCAAAGTTTCCCACCCAAGTAGTTTCCAATGCCTCCGGTAGATGGGGAAGTTATCGGGTACCACTGCCAGCCTCACTGGCTGAACGGGGCTGATAGCAAGCACCAGTATCGACAGGGCATGGCGACTGGTAGAATATCAAAGGGGGACGTACAATAGACTATTAGTCGCGGTGCGTGGAGAAACCCACCGCCAGCAGCGGCGGCAGCAGCAGCGGCAGCGGCAGCGGCGGCGGCGGCGGCGGCAGCAGCAGCAGCAGCAACAACAACAACAACAAGCCATGAAGGCTCATATGGTTGCGAGACAATCGGCTCACAGATGGCAGCAAGGTTGTCAGCCTTACACACCATCTGCCATTTACCTGAGGAAGATTCCTGGTACTCATTTCTGTTAGAGGCTGAGTCAACCCCAGGGCCATAGTGCAGCTGAAGGATTAGGTCAGTTGAAAAAATCCACCTCATTGGGACTCAAAACCGTGACTTTCCAGCTTGTAGCATAGTGCTTCAACAAACTACGTTATCGCATGTCCCTAATTTTAGCGTATACAAAACCATATTTACCATATTTAAGTACCGAGTTCTTCTCTAGAAGATGCAGCTGCCTATCACCACAACTACCACTCTTAAAGCTACTGCTACTGCTAAAAATAACAGCTGTATTTACAACTTCAAAAAATACAACATTATTTGAAGGTATGAACATTTACATACATGTTAAGCAAGTTAAATTGTTCTTTGCTAAATTACAAATTGCAAAAATATAGCAGAGGATTTGTAGGATGTCTGTGTAACGGAGCATAGGAATTATGAGCTCTACCTGGAATCCTTGGTTGTTGATAAATTCGTGATAAATAGTTAATATATATACAATCATAATTTAAATGCCATGGCAAAAGGTTAATATTTAAAATAAAGGTAATGATAGGAATCTTGCAATGATAACCAATCACCAGAGGAAAGAAGTAAAGCTAACTCCTAAAATGTTGTTTGTACTAAATACACATGACACATCTGTAAATGTTACGAGTCAAGAGAACTGTAATGCATCCACCATTTTCACAAACCCTTAGAGAATCAATCAATATACATATCACCTACCCTCTCCTGGGTGTCATCCCAAGCCCGCTTCACAGCCCTGTTTGTTGCATATGTCCTTAGAGTGCTCTGCATTTCTTGCTCCATTGTTGTGTGCACCTTTTCACGAAATACATAGCCAAGAATACCACCCACCAGCATAGTGACGAAGATAAGGAATACAATCATGAAGTACTGTAACAGGGTAAGAAGCCAAGAGAATGAGATCAGGGATCTGATGTAAATATGTATGTAACTGTTACACATTTGAAGGTCCAGAGTTCATGCCGTAACCTACCCACTGTCCCGTTTTTACTTAAAGACAATGTTTTAGAGACAGGATGCTGTCCCTGTCTTCAGGTAAAACCTACTCAGTTGGGCTCAAATGATAGCGCTAGATGCTATCTCCATACATACAACACCAGATATGGTTCACAAGCCAAGCACAGCACAAACCATCCACAAGAACTAAAGCAAAACATTAATATATTCAAACTCCACACATATGAAGATAGGTCTTTGGTGCAAGGACTCATATGTGTGGAGTTTTAATATTTAAACGTTTTGTCTTAGCTCTCGCAGATGGTTTATGCTGTGCTCGGCTTGTATACCTTGTCTGGTGTTGATACAGGTGTCCAGAGAAAAGGACTAGCTCTACTGATTGTGCACAACTAAGCAGGTTTTTACTTGAAGATGGAGGCAGAATCCAGTCTCCAAAATGTTGTGCTTTTAAATAAAATCAGGATAATGGATAATGTCCACAATTATTATATTTGTATTAAAATACCATAATCACAAACTTTTAAATCTTATTGTTAACACGCTTAATTTAGCTGTAAACAGCGTTCTATGTTTGGAAGCAAATCCTTCAGAGGAATAGACTTTGCTTAACTTTAATTGTTTCTTGCATCCTGTTGTGTATTTAATCAATATTAGAGTCAATTTTACCGACCACACAACATATTTTTATTATTATTACACTACATGTTTCGACCTCAAGAGGTCATCCTCAGGTGTACGAACACAGTTGTATAATTACACGCAATCACATTCGTCTTCTCACTTATTCGATCCTGTATCTTCACGACAAGGACCGTAACAGATCCAGCAACATCAGAGGACGTGGAAGAACAGCGAGAGCTCCAAAAAGTGAAAAGTGCAATCAATATAATAAAATTGAACTTTAATTCATGAACTTTTAACCAATAATATAATTAAACAAGTTAAAGTGAACTTGACGCAGTGATGAGCGTAGGTAGAAGTGACTGACTAACAAGTGAAAGTGAAAGCATATCTAGTGATCTGAACTGAAATTTGATTCACAAATTTTAAATTTTTAAATTTTTAATTTTTAAATTTTAACTTTTGAAATTTAGAATAATATTTTAACTTGTGTTTTGTGAGAGGAGCTTGATATATTATTGAGCGTGGGCCTGAATAAGATACAGGATCGAATAAGTGAGAAGACGAATGTGACTGCGTGTAATTATACAACCGTGTTCGTACGCCTGATGATGACCTCTTGAGGTCGAAACATGTAGTGTAATAATAATAAAAATATGTTGTGTGGTCGGTAAAATTGACTCTAATATAGACTTTGCTTAAATTTACAAATATGAAAACACCTCAAAGCCTCAAATCTTACACGAAAACACCTGTTTATGTCATCACAAACAAACACCACAAATAAAACTGAAAGTCAATAATAAAGTTGTAATGCAATGTTCTTATTCCTACCTCATATTTGTTAGCTGACATTCAAGTTTTGATGAGACTGGCTACATATGATTGAGGTTTTGCATGATTTTCTTCATTCCTCCAAGAGAATTCTAAGATAGTAACTACTACTTTTCACAACCAATTTTTAATTTCTTTTCACCTTGGGTAAAGTTCCTGGGGCATGTAGCTGACCACTCATCTCCATCTAGTGTCAAGGTCAAGAATGGTGGACCCATGTTTTTATGGCACAGAGCTTAATTAATTAAACATGTGGACAATTTTACATCTTACTGTAAGCTATGTAATTAATGTACGTAGTTTCATATGATAAACAAGGAATAACTGATTATCTTCTGTTTGATTACAGGCTTTTGAAAGACCATAAATGATCCAACAAATTTCATACCTCCATGTCACATTATTATGTATTTGGCTTATATTGTTAACAGCAGCTGATAATATCACTCACTCATAAGCACAATGAATGTCTGAATCAAACACAGAACTTCCTGTCCATTTCTACCAACAGTCCTTCAGTGATGACATTCTGAACTGGCATAACAATTTGGATTTCATAAGCCTTAAAATGTGTATATTCTCAGAAAATTTTGACTTATTTTAAATTTATCGCAAATAGTTTGAATATAATTTATTAATTTCAATAACATGTGTGTAATCAGTTTCATAATTTTTTATCACTTCAGTGAATATTCAGTGAATATCCTTCCTTGTGTTATGGTAATACCTATCATTTTTCATAACTGAAAACATAACAGTTTATTCAGCCTTATTTGTCTGAAAACTAGAAAGGGTACTGACCTCCTTAATTCTACTCTCATGTTCAAATTTGACAACACACATTGACACACACAAGACTTTCAAGTAAACGAATTCTCAAAATTCTGATCAGAGTTAAGATACCCAAAGATCTATGGTCCTCTATGTAGAAAACTTATACAAAGTCTACATTTTTCAGGCTATATGATGTGGCATTTATGTCGCTGTCCATTCAATATAGAGCAATTTAGCTTACCGTGAGGAGCATACACTTGATCTCCTTTAGGGCTCCCAGGCAGCCAAAGAAGGCGATCAGGGAGATGATGGCACCTGTGGCAATGAGGATGTACACAGCACCCAGGAACAGGTTGGTACCCAACAGCTCATTCATGAAGGATTTGTCCACCAGAGTCCAAATGCCAATCCCCAGCACTGTAATACCGCCAACCTGTAAGAGAGAGGCATGGGGATCAAAGGAACCGTTAGATCCACAGAAAATAATATAAACAATGATAAAAATCGCTGGTGAAGAATTTGATTAGCAGAGCAACTCTTACTTTCTGAAGACTGATTCTGCTCCATGGAATTAGTTACTTGATTTAGTTAATTGTGTTATTATTGTTATTACCTTCATCATCATCACAGCAGTAAAATACTGAGCTGTGAGAATCTGCAACTTGAAGAGATTTTTAGTTGTGCAGTGCTGCACAAGGAAATACACCCCTTAGGGGGGATCTGACTGAAGCGAAACCACGAGGTGAAGGGATGAATCCCCAATGACAATGGTGAAACATCTATCCAAACCTGCAGCTGTGGATCCCCATTCCCTGTAACTCATCCTAATTTACTAATCATTTGTCTTATCTTAGCAGCTTATTGCTGCTATCCAAGTACCGTATTTACGCATGTATAGGCCGCACATTTTTTGCCAAAAATTCAAGAGGAAAACTGGGGTGCGGCTTATATTCGAAATATTCGAAATCATACTTCATTTAAAAAAAAATATACTCATAATTAGTAATACAGGGTGTTCTACTCCTGAAATAATATTCCAAGAAAATTATTTTTTCTATAATTTGTCTGAAAATTGTGCTGCGGCCTATACACGCACGCGGCTTATACATGCGTAAATACGGTAATTGAGCCAGTTTACATACAGCTAATTGGGAAGGTTGTGAATATATCAACTGACAAGACAGAACAATCTAGTTAGGCCACAGGACAGGGTGGAATAATATATTTTATGAGTGTAATTTATGTTAAATTAATGCAGAACCAAAAGGCATACCTTTGTCATTCAATGTACCTTATTCCAGGACCCATGACAAGCTACCTGAATGCCAGAATTATCGAGAAGTGACCTACATCTGGTGGCAGTAATTGTACAAAGAAAGAAAATTTAGATTCAGAAACCCTGATCCAACCTACTCCCTATCCTCTATACCGTAACTACCAGTGATTGAGACCTGGGTTATTTCATGCCACTATTTCATCTGCTATGTTTTGTACAGTATCATATAAGACAGCAAAATGATTACTGATGTTGTGCAGATATGGATTCAGAGGGGGGCAATCACATATCATAAATCATTATCATCATAGGAAGAAACAAAGGATACTGAAGAATGGCTATAGTCCAGCCACGATTTAATGTGCATTCAGCTCTGGTCACCTCGAAACAGCATTGACTGAGTTACATCATGCTGCATGTGCTACACACAACTGACCTAGGTCACGTGTTGCCCATGTCTGATGTCAATTGTAGGTTTTGTTTTCTTACTGAGATACAGTCTTGGCACAGTTCACATTCACAAAGTTTTTAGTTTTGTCAGTGGTGAGTGAAGGATTGTGAGATAAGCACAATAGCCCAGAGATAGAGACTAGCCATGCTAAATATGTAACTTCTAAGAAAACATGCAAACAACTCATAAAATGTTGCATGCTATTTAAATGACAGAATCAGTATCTATTTTATGGTCTGATTCAGTTCAGACATTCCAAATTAATGGAACAATCTACATAAACTTTCTAAATAATGTGTAAGAATTATCATGCCTATTTAAGTACTTATCTATATGCATGCATTAACCTTTAATGTCCGAAGTGCCCTAATCGGGTCACTGATGAGTATGGTCGTCGTGGCCAAAGTACCCCGATTTGGCCAGTCGGGCATTTAAAGCAGAAAGATATATTCCAAGGGAACGTCTTCCAAATGTTATTCTGCATACCACATGACCTTAATATTCACGTATTGCAGGTACAAATCTATTGTAAAGTTAATCATGCTACATACTCAGAACTTTTCCTTCTATTTCGTTAAATGTCCGCCATATTAAAAAATATACCAACTGGATTTGTAGATCGAAGGCTTAAGTCAGTTCTTTTGTAGGATAAGCAGTTTCTCTGTAAGGAATTCATGAGTTTGATTCGAATTTTATATAAAGTCAAGGTTATATTAAACCGATATGAACAAAAGTTAAATTCTTATGACAAATTTTAGTATAGTCCCTCCCCCCTCGTACCAAATTTCGCCAAAATCCGATTAGTAGCTTCTGAGATAAAACGTGCTGCTGGAAATCGTCTTCACTCAGCAGACCTCACATGAACGAAAAAGTAATGGCATGAAGTTCAAGATTGGTGAAATAGCAAAAGAGAAATAAAAATAAAAAAATCTGTGCACATTTCTGCAATTCAGCTTGCAACATGACATTTCGGATATCCGTTCATAATTGTCAGATTCTGCGTGGAAATTTACAGTCATCATTTTCCAGGATGTGCGGTCAATGATGTACTGAAAAAGACATTTTATACGAGGACAGCTTACTTGAAGACTAAAAATTCGTCCGGTACCCTATCTCTTTACAAAATAGACGACAATTATGTTTATGTACGAAACGGGCTGGTATACTTTGATCATTTAGTTATTTTCATGGTTACAAATGCAATGAAATGATCATATGACCATAATCCTGCTGCTCGCAAAGAGTGAGAAATATGACTAAATGTTCATGTCATATTCACCCCCATTTTAATATGTACCCGTATATCAAGGAGCCGGGATTGCGCAGTCGGTATACCGACTGGCTACGGGCTGGACAACCGAGGGATTGGAGTTCGGGTCCCAGGGGGGCAAGAATTTTCACTTCTCTATGTCGTCCAGACCTCTGGTGTCCACCCAACCTCCTACCAAACTGGTATTTGGGGGCTCTTTCCCTTGGGGTAAAACGGCCGAGGCGTGAAGCTGACCACTCACCTCCACTTAGTGCCGAGGTCAGGAAAATGTGGTTCTATATATCCACTACCCCGTACACCATCATGGTGTTGTGCTTAATTAGTTAAACACTGGGACTTCGCCTTATTTTGCCTGTATATCAGTTGTGAACCAATGAGATATAATTTTTGCATACCAGCCGCATAACATTTGGGTCTACCGAACATGTAATACAGCATCTATGTATTGAAGATGTCTTTGAAATTTTTGGAACAATAAATGGAACGATACAATGACAAGATGGAAAAAGACAAGGTTGTATAAAGCGACAGTACTTCATACTTCCTTACAGAAGTGAAACTTGGGTTAGGGGAGGGGGGGACACCAAATTCTAACAGCAGAAATAAAGTGTTTAAGATCAGAGAAAACCCAAGACATGAGGAAGGAACTAAATACTCATATTCATTCATAAATGTAAGGCGGATATGACTACAATGAGAGTGGTCAACCCAGTTGACTCACAAGGATAGAGACTTAAAGAATCCATTCAAAACATGGCTATTACAGCGGAGTGCATTTGAACTGTATCCAAAGTGGTCAGAAAGAACCTTTCATTTAAATGTTCAATTATATATGTCATCGTAGGAACAAGGAAAAAACAGACCAGTTTTAATAAGAAACGATATTTTCTGTGGTAGTTACGTTAAAACACCTAACAGCACTGTGTTCGAATACAATTTGCGGTTAGTTTTTCCTTTTGGGTTTAAGGAAATAAACCAGCATTCACCTACAGGACCTGAAAAATCCCAAACAAATTAAGGGCCAAAACAGCCCAACCTTTACACAAAACCCAAAAAAAACAGACACACAACATGCCACTCGTCTCAACACAACTGTACCACTACCGCAGCCATGCTTGTGGATACACCGCTCCAAAGTAGGCTCGTGACCAAGGAAACCTCACCCACTGAAAAATGACAAATTCCATACATGAAGTTTCAGTTTATTTGTAATGTAAAGGGCTACCTACTTTGATGAAGTTTACGCATTTCATACTTAGTTTGTTAACAAGCATTTATGTTTAATCACATCATCCGGTGTTAAGCCATATTAGAGGGTTAAAATTTCTTTAAGAATTTTAGTTAACATGATTAATTTTTAAAGCTAAAAAAATGTTTTAAAGAATACTGATTTCACATTATACAAGGAGAAAGAAAGTTGGAAAGAACGTAATTAATCAAGAAATAAAGAAAATGTGGCAGACAGACAGAGAACACAGCATGAAAGCAATATAAATAAATAAAGAAAAGACTTGCATAGGGGCCACTGCTGTGCACTTCTTATAAGCGTAAAGCTACCGTGCAACGTTACAGGAGACAGAAACGACACCCATTATTTAGCTGTACAAAGCGTCATGTAACCATGCCATACTCACAAATATGATGAAGTTGGCTATGAACATGCTGTACTTCATGCACTGTCCACAGCCATCCATCTCCTGTCCGTAGCCCATGTTGATACCTTATAGAGTCGAGATCTGGAACAAGATAGCGACAATGGTTACGCCATTTCTAAGTGGTAAAGGTAAACTTGTCCTTCTGACGCTGTGAAGGCGCAGAGGGAGTGAAGGTAAAGCACTACTCAATCTTAAACTTGGCATTAACCCTTTCAGATCTTATTAATCATTCTTCCATCGGTTACTTTTTCAAAAAGCAGGGTATGGAGGCAATTTCTTTCTTATTCATTTTCCTTTCCTTTATCGTCTTATTCTTCTACTCTTCTTCATTCCTCGTCAAGTCCTCGCAGACAGTCGCGCATTTAGGAACCAAATATTGATGAATGATTATCTTCATGTTCCAGCTGCTTTAGTAAAGACAGCAGCCACTGGATAGTAGGCCGGGTTGACCCAGCACAACACAACAGTGGCGAAGGGACATATCTCGCCCCTGCAGGGAATAACATTAGACCTCAGCCAGCCTACTGACTGCGCTAGCCCGACTTATACTACGCACACTGCTTCAAAGCCTATGCTACACCCAACCTTTACACAAAACCCAGTCCTGATGAGGTCATTGGATTTTTTTCAATTGACCTAATCCTTCCGGCCCCACTATGGCCCTGGGGTCGACTCAGCCTCTAACAGAAATGAGTACCAGGAATTACGTGTAATTAAATAATTTTCCCGGGGAGTAAAGCGCGGCCGGCGCGTACGGCTGACAACCTTACCGCCATCTCTGACCCGACTGTCTAGATAATGTGGGACCCTCAACGTCTCACAGCCCTATGGGCCTTCACGGCCTGTTACAGGGATAGCTTTACTTTTTACTTACTTAAACTGTTTGAAAGCAAAACAGATTATATACTCGTATTATACCGGGAAGTAACACCTGTTTTCTTGTGCATGGCATGTGCATGAAAATGATAATTAACCTGTAAAATCTGTGGGATTTTCACGGAGGTCACTGTTCAGACCGTGGACTTCTTGGATGTGACACGGTGAAGTTTTGTAGATGGATACGAAAGCATAGGGAGGAACATGCTGCTTCCATTTTCAGGATTGAAATTACCCTAAAAATGGATACATCGTTTTTCTTCAAAACGTCGGTAACCACCTATAAGATTATACGGCACCACAATATAGAATACCATAATCTAGATAAGCAAGCTGTTCTCAGTTTTTACCAACGCAATCGAACGACAAATAAAGTACATTAGAATGCGTTATGAGCAGGGCCCGGATTTTGATGACATGTCATCTTTTTTTCCTTGTATCCTATGCGATGCTCTTAAATATATAAATCTCGGATATGAGCTGCTGGTTATAGAAATGTAAATTTTATACGTAATTTTGACATTTTTAGGTTTAAGGTGATTTTTTTCATTTTGGGTGTAATTTTTTGGTAAATTTTTGGACTTTTAAGGGCATTTCTTGTCATTTTTGGCCATTTTAGGGAATTTTTCTTCATATGTTTTCTGAAATGTGAATAACATGGAAGCGAAGTGTTCTTTCTTTTCTCCTTTAGGTCATTTTTCTGGATTTTTTCGGTCATCTTATAGGTCATTTTTCGAATATTTTCAGGTCATCAAAATCCGGGTCCTGCATATTACATTTTTGAGTCATATTTTAGGTCATTTTTCTGGATTCTTTCGGTCATTTTATAGGTCATTTTTCGAATATTTTCAGGTCATCAAAATCCGGGCCCTGGTTATGAGTGAAACATAAAATATACTGTTCTACAGCACAGACTTCTAATCCTACAAATCTTCTATTGTTCTTGTCAAGAAGTGAGGACAAATCCAATAACAATCTGAAATTTAATTAATGGATGTGTACATTGGCCTCGACAGCGCGTAGGATAGAGTACTGGTAGAGCCGCAATATTATTCTTTACAATTTCAAATTTATAATTTTAAAAACTCCGTGGCTTTAGTCCGCAGGCGAACTATACCGACCGAGCGACTGCCTCTTGTCGGTGAAGTTAGTGCCAACTTTTAAGGATAGAGGGTGTCGAATTTATTATTATTATTATTTAGGCGAACTTATTAGTTATATTTAGGTACAGATTTTTTTGTACTTTTTATCGGACATAACTTCAACGTTCTGCATAATATTTCATTCAGAATCTGTAGGTATGTCCATGGTCTATTTCCATACAAAATTAAATATTCCTTTCTTCTGCGCGTCATCCAAACTGGCTCTGGGCCAGGCACCTTGGTGCTCTTGGAAGCACTTTGGGTACCCATGGGAATTCTAAAATATTCACAATAATTTATTAATTATTCGCCCGTGAATGCAAAACGCATCGTTATTTCCGCTCTGTGAACCGAGTGTCGGTCCAGTAACTAACCACGTGGCCTGTAGTCCGCAAGCGAACTGTACCACTGAAGAATTATAAATGTTTACGTTAAAGTGTTACATTAAGACAAGGGTCACGCAATTATTATAAAATGATTTGGCAACATCGTCCAGTGCGACTTAATGCATACTTCTTTATACGAGTATAGTGTCTTTACATGTTTCGGTCAGTTGTGACCATCTTCAGAAGGCTATCACAACATGCTACGGAACTACTATTGTTCACCTCACTGCGTCTTCAATCAGTTTCATCCTATTAATCCCTCGAAAGAACAAAACAAAAAACTAACTCCGTGGCCTGTAGTCCGCAAGCGAACTATATCGACCGAGCGACCGCCGCTTGTCAGCGAAGTTAGTGCCAACTTTTGCGGATAGAGGGTGTCACATGGTCAGCGCAACGGTTCCCCACAGCCGTTAATTTCGGTTTTCTAGATCGGAGCCGCTATTTCCTTGAAATAGCTCCTCAAATATCCTCACGAGGCTGAGTGGACCCCGTTCGAGGCTCACAACTTCTCAGAATATCTGGTGGCGCCGGAAATCGAACAAAGAACCTCTGGATCTGTAGCCAGGAACTCTGACCACTAGACCACTGAGGCGGTCCGAAAGAACAAACACAAGATAATTATTAAAAATGATAGTTTAATGTACCTTGATCTTCAGATGTATTGTAAAGCAGACGAAAATATAAACTAATATTAGAAAGAAATATACATTTTAGCTTCCTATCTCTTCATTTCTTTCTTCAGCAACGACTCCTCAAGCACAAATATTGAAAGAGCGAAATGGGAGGATGAATGTAAGAGGTGAATTGGAAATATACAGAAGTCACCTAAGACTGCAACGGCTGTTGTATAGCTGCTTATTTCAAGGTCGTTGCCTAGCAACGGGTCTGCATTCCATAATATTTATTACTGAAATTAGTGAGCGGACCATAATGTGAACTCTGGCGGGCTACACGTTGCTCACAATTAATTTAGATTGATTGCGGCCACTGCGATCAGTCTAAAGCGGCAATTACTGTGGTTTTCCATGTCGCATACCAAGACACGTGGATACTGTAGCTCTAGCTCTCTTCGATAATGGAACATGGAACTCTTCAGGACAGATCGGCTATTCCTCAGTCCGGTTCCAATGGCTGTAGGCTGTTCCTCTTGCTGTAATGAACTTATTCTTTGAGTATTTAATGACGCGGTATCAGCTTCACAAATTATGTAGCACAAAATGGAATCAACAGAAAAAATAGGTGAATAGGTAAGGATTTAGGAGATGGCCGTCTGGGTATATTCACGCTAGATCGTCCACTATGCCTAAAGAAACTGAGTAAAATCAAGAAAATTCTAGCATAGAGTAGTCATCGAGCCGGTCAGGAAATGGCCTGTATTTATAACCCGAAGATTTATAACCGTGTCTACAAAATTCTGCTATCAGACTATCCTAAGCCGGACGAGTCGATCAGAATTACTGGAGTTTCAGACTCTGTCCACCGTCCGCAATTCTAGATGGACGATGGACAAAGTCCGAAACCCCAGTAATTCTATGTTATACACCATCATCAGAACCCTTTACAATCAAGCCCATCACATCTTGAAGACATATTTCTTAAAGACCTGCCTCTTTAAGCGATTCGCCTTTAGTTTATGTTTTCATCTAAATTAGCATCTATGAGCTGTGGTCCTCATAACGCGATGTTCATGAGACGTTCTTGTGCAGCCAGATAAAAATTAATATGTCACCGACTCCTAGATTTAACGACGTTTTCTGAACCCACGTGTTACAAAGTGTCGAATAAAATAGGATAATGATCGTGGGTGGTGAAAAGTTACGAATTTAAAAAAGCAAGCGGTAGTGGTATACGAACGGTACTATGCCGTCATTCACCTGGAAAGACTGAAGTTTCGCATGAAGAAATATTTACAGACCACAAAATGTCCGTCTCTACAACAGCCAATCTTCTATCTGCAACGACGTTGTGCGCGTCGGCCATGAAGACGTGTGAGGTTTGCCGTAGGGGAAAAATTCGGTACCTGTTGGACAGCAGGATAGGAGAGCCCCAGAGGCGTTTGTTGTGGCGCAGACTATATTACTGACATGATGATGATGATGATGATGATGATGATGATAATAATCCTGGTAAGCACTCCATAGATCCAATGCAAAAAACAGCTATCCTGGGAACATCACACATACTACGGAAAGTGCTACAGTGCGAAGCTTGAAGCCTGAGTGGTGAGGTGCATCACTGGTTCAAGAAAAGGAATACCAGGAAATAAACCTGTGACAAGAGATGATGATAATAATAATAATAATAATAATAATAATAATAATAATAATAATAATAATACATCGTCTCCAACGGCCATATTTGAGGTGCTGAATCTTTGGACATTCTTATTTTCACAGGTGCTAGACGATTGGTTGGTCTCCAGCGCGCTGTTTGGCATCCAAAAATCTGTATGACTACGCCCCTGACACTATTGGAACACGATAAAAGGAATTAAACTGTGGTGAGAAATTGAGAAAGGGGGTTGCCCTTCTACCACAATTGTAACAATTTACAATTTCGGGAATATATGCAGGGCGTAACAGTTCTAGCGCGTCGCTCCCATTTAAGTTAAGGTCACTTAAGGGAATATGTACATTGAGGATAAACCGTTTAATTTTTAATATAATTTTTGTCCGAT